AATGCCATGGGTCAATGTTACTGTTTCAAGGGAGTTGTAGTTTCTTTAGCTTTGTTTACAAAGAGGTCTCATTAAATACAAATCCCAGGATTCCATAGCATTTAACCATGCCAATTACAGTGGCATCAAACCATTGATTCCACAAGGTAAATGCACCCCATGTGATTCTGCTGGAGGAGGAGAGGGAAGGCATTTGAATCAAGGCAGAGTTTAATCTTGTTCTGACCATGATGGATCATTGCTTATTGAGATGTTGTTAACGAGTGGTCACTGAATCTTGCATGCTATTGTAAGAGTCTCTTGTGACACTATCAAAATTTAAAGCCATTTGTTTTAATATGGGCATTTAGTTGCTCAGTTTGGCAGAGGGAGATTGTAAAATGGAAATAAGATTGCAGGAGCTCTTTAAGCATGTCCAGTCAATTATATAATGCATCCCACAAAATTTCAGACATTTGCCTGAACCTCTTTCTGTCCCTAGAGAGGAGAACCGTAGCCTTCCAGTTCTTACTATTGATCATAATCGCTGGGGCTGTTGGAAGTTAGAAGGATGCAGCTTTTCTGCTTCTAATCTAATTAGCTGCAAAATACTTCATTTGGATCCAGGGGCGGCTCGTCCATTACGCGAAGTAAGCGGTCACAGAACATTTTTTTTTGCCAGGGGCACAGAGGCGCCTCTGTAAATTTTCGACCACCTGTAAATTTTTGACCACCACTTGAGGAGCACCCCCTCAGCTCACAACAGCCCTAGCAGTCCAGGGGGAGCCTCAGCTTTCTTGCCTCGCTGCCGGACGATCTTCTTCCCAAAGGGGCTGGGCCCTTGAGCCTCACCTAGCCCCTCTCGTTCCTGCTCCACCCGGCCACCGGATGTGCAAGCAGAGCCGGCACTCAATTGTTCTCCGCGTTCGATCCCTTCCCCATGACCGCCTCCCTTTCCCAATCCCCCGGCGCTCCACCTGCCTCCTCTCATCTCCCCAATCCACGGGTAGGCCAAGGGGCGGAGCCGCCACGCCTGGCCCGCTTCGGGTCCGGAGGCATGTCTGAAGACCCCAGTGTGCGCACCAAAAGTTGCCTCTTCTCCTGACTTACTCTTCAGCCATTGGGACCAAGAGAGAGAGAGAGAGAGAGCCCCTCCGGCTGGAGGTATCTCCCACCTCCACTCCCTCCTTTGTTTTTGCGCCTACCTTCAGGAAAGGTGGGCATCTCCACCTCTGTCTCTCTCTCTCTCTTGGTGCCAATGGCTGAGGAGAAAGTCAGGAGAAGAGGTGACTTTTGGTGCACACGGCGGAGTCTTCAGGCACGCCTCCAGACCCAAAGCGGGCCAGGCAAGGGAGCAAGTGAGGCAAGTGTAGTTACTGGGATGTATAGTTCACCTACAATCAAAGAGCATTCTGAACTCCACCAATGATGGAATTGAACCAAATATGGCACATAGAACTCCCATGACGAACAGAAAATATATATCAATGATTGGTTGGGGGGGGGGCGCCAAAATACTGTTTGCTTACCATTGAAAATTACCTAGGGCCGCCTGTGTTTGGATCCAGTCTCTTGAAATGTGGCAAACATTTTAGAATACTATTAGACAGATATAAATTAAATGTTCAGTGTAATTTTAAAAGTACACACACATTGATAAATAATTGATAGTTTGTAAACACAAGTGTTTCTCTCACTAAATTTTCATCCAGATGTGAAATAGAAACTGAGGACATAAAGTTTAAAGGCTAAAAATTTTGAAGTCAAAATTTAAAGTTGAAATCAGTAGTCCCTGAAGCATTTCACTTTCACTCAGGGGTTTTTTATATACTTGCTGCAAATCAGTCATACATTCATTAATCAGTTAACTTTCTAAACTACATTTTATTTTACTTTATTTAAATTAAATATAACTTAATATAAACAAGGTTTCTTTCATGACCCATACAATAATTCCTTTAAAAAATCCATTAAAACCAAGTACAATCTTAAGCATCCTGCAAATAATATGGCAAATGCCTTGGCAAAACATGTAGTCGGCAATGGAAACACCTTATTTTGGGGACCTGCCTAATTCTGAAGGAGAGAGAAAGGAAGGAAGACAGACAGATAGACAGACAGACAGACAAAGAAAATTTTGTCACCTTTCAGTCATATGTGGGAAAATACATAGGGAAATGTGCACAAAAAACAGAAATTATTGTAAAACATTGTATTAAAGTTTGATACATTGTATCAAACTTATGCTTTCGAGGACTTACAAGATAGAATTGAGTTTTATAGTTTCTCTAGAGAAACTAGATAATGCGTATTCAATCTATGCAATTGTTGCTTGATTTTTTTTACAATGCATACTCTAAAATACGCCATGGTTATATGTTTGTCTAATATGTGTTGTTTGGCAAATTAGTATTGATTCCCTCTATTGTGTTCATGTTGGACATAGTGTTCTATGTTTTGTCTAGAAACTTCATCCCTTGTCTTTAGTAATTTCATTTGACATGTCTGCTAAATGTTTGGTCTTTCTTGTCCAAAGGGAAAGATGCCTTGGTGCACTGACATCACACAAACACACACCTGCCAGCATTTCACTTGGCTGGAATCACATCTTCCATTTTGTCCTAGACTAAATATTTGAGCTCCCAAGATTGTGGCAGTATCAGAATGTAAAACCATAAGTTTCAATTGTTGGTTTGGCAGAGAGAGATTGTAAAATCAAAATGATGTGGCAGGCTTGCTGGTCAAAGCAGCTCTCTAACAGTGTTCAATTAAAAAGACTTAAAAGAGATCTTATAGAAATATCTTCAACACACAAATGATTTGATATAAAACAGCAACCAGGTATAAGGTGATTTTGGGAGTGAAGCTTATATGTACCTTCCTTGCTCCCTCTCCACTTAAATACTATGTATGCATGTGTGTTTATCAACTACATAAGACTAATGGAATAACAGCAACAACAACAGTTTTATTTCTTATCTGCCTCTCCTTGTGGCTTGAGATTGGTTACGACAGTCAAACGGATGAATCATTGTAAACATTCTATAAAATACACATTAAAGTGTATTTCTATAAAATACGCATATTAAAACATATTTCTATAAAATACTTATTAAAATACAAAGAACAAAGATTGAAATACAGGATGCAAGTTTAAAATCCATTATTAAAACTAACTGGGTATTGTATTGCGGCATTGCAAATATGGCCAAATCTTCACTGGGACCAACACAAATGAAACTTATATGTCATCCAAGTATCTAGAGCCAGCTCTAACAACCTGGTGAGATAAGTGATAAACGCTCTCTTCTCTGGGATGGGGCTCCATTTACATGAGTCAAACATATATAGAAATTGTGATGGGGGCAAACTCTTCTCTCATTTTCAATTACTAAACGTTCCCTGTCTCTGGAAAAGAATCATAGAATCAAAGAGTTGGAAGAGACCTCATGGGCCATCCAGTCCAACCCCCTGCCAAGAAGCAGGAATATTGCATTCAAATCACCCCTGACAAATGGCCATCCAGCCTCTGCTTAAAAGCTTCCAAAGAAGGAGCCTCCACCACACTCCGGGGCAGAGAGTTCCACTGCTGAACGGCTCTCACAGTCAGGAAGTTCTTCCTCATGTTCAGATGGAATCTCCTCTCTTGTAGTTTGAAGCCATTGTTCCGCGTCCTAGTCTCCAAGGAAGCAGAAAACAAGCTTGCTCCCTCCTCCCTGTGGCTTCCTCTCACATATTTATACATGGCTATCATATCTCCTCTCAGCCTTCTCTTCTTCAGGCTAAACATGCCCAGTTCCCTAAGCCGCTCCTCATAGGGCTTGTTCTCCAGACCCTTGATCATTTTAGTCGCCCTCCTCTGGACACATTCCAGCTTGTCAATATCTCTCTTGAATTGTGGTGCCCAGAATTGGACACAATATTCCAGATGTGACAAAATACTCTAATTATTCTGATGCCAAAAAAGTGAGCTTTTAAAGATTCCATGTAATTTCTTATTTCTTGGGTCGTTTCTTTCAACACGGGGGTTCAAGATGAAGAAAATTTTCTCTCACACCTGTGCTTGATTCATCCAACCCTGTAATTTATGTAAAAATGCACATTTTTAAATGGACTAGATAGAATGAATGATATTCAGAATATCCTGCTGAGTTGCTGAGCTTCTCTTCCAGATGCTCTCCTCATATTGGGAGGGATTCCCCACAAACATCAGGATTACTTTCCTGGGATCAGGAGGGGCTGCAGTGGGAGCCTGAAAAAAATGAAAGATGCATATCTCACAAAATGAGAAATCTCAGGACTCCATAGCACTGAGTCATAATAGTTAATGTGGTGTCAAACTGCTCTAATGCTGCAGTGTGACATAAGTAGAATTAACTCTCTAGCTTATGCCCACTTTTTTGGCATCAGAATAATTAGAGCATTTTGTCTCTTTTCCAGACACAGGGAATGTTTAGTAATTGAAAATGAGAGAAGAGTTTACCTCCTTCACATTTTCTATATATGTTTGACTCGTGTAAATGGAGCCCCATCCCAGAGAAGAGAGTGTCTATCACGTATCTCACGAGGTTGTTAGAGCTGGCTCTAGATACTTGGATGACATATGTTTCCAAGCAACTACATCACCTGTTGTAGGACCTCATCACACTAGAGTATCTATCAATTTTAAACCGAGCTGTTGCCTCCTGCAGAATTTTGGGGTTTATAGTTTTAGAAGATGTCTTTAAACTGCACAACCAGAGAGTTCCTGGACATCACTAAACTACAAACCCCGGTTTTCTGCAGGAGGTAAAAACTCGATTTAAAGTGGATAGATGCTCTAGTGTGATGAATTTTATAGACTGTAGTCATAGTTCCAAGGCTTGATGTGTTGTATTGCAATGATTGTGCAAATTATTATTATTATTATTAAGGCACATGTTGTGGGTGGACCACTATTCCTCCCATAGCTTGGTCCTTCATTCTTACCTAACCTACTTTTCTGGCTTGGTAATGTTTAAAGTGGCATTGTATGATTTTAGATGTATCAAGCTGTGAAGGGAGATGTGGGGAAGGGTATAATAGGAAACATGACTGCCAATGTGATAGTAGCTGCCATCTCTACGCGGAGTGCTGCCCAGATTACCAGAGAGTCTGCGTTGAAGGTAAGTCCTCAATTGCAGTCACTTCATTTTCCCTTTTAATAACTGAATAAGCACTTCTTTGCTTCTTTAAGACAGTGGTTTTCACACAGTATTTCAGAAAAATAGTTTGGCCTATTCTTTCCAGAATTCCTGGATAGCATGGCCAATCACAAAGCAGGGCCTCATCACAAAGCAGTAAGGATTTGCCACACATCATGGCCAACCCACAGCTCCATACCCCGCATCACCTGACTCACCTGGGACCCCATCCCACAGGGAAAGGATTGCCACCTGGCTTCCTCTTGTTGATCCAAAGGCAACACAGGAAGCCTCCCATGTTGATTTGTCATCATAATATGCTGCTTTTTGGCACAGAGACCAACCAGAAGTATACATGCGTCATGTAATGGGCTCTGTCTCGAAAGTGTTGATCAAGCGACATAAGATGGGCAAATCAACCCATGTGATGAGGTGGCTATTCCACAAAGTAATTTTTCCAAACTATGCATGCAGTGATGGTAGGAAGATAGAACATATGTCAACAAGAAGTATAGTCAGACCTTCACATTTGCAGGTTTGATAAAATATTATCACTAGAACTATTTATGTCCTCCAGGGGGAGTCTGTGGTCAACTGCCACAATAGGTTGACCATAAAGTACACATGTCAAATTTAATCCGGCCCACCACATCATTTTATGTGGCCCGTGAGGCTTTCAATGCCAGGGCAACATAGTTACATTTATGCAATCTTACAATTACAATAAGCCTTTTGAAGACAACCATAAGGCTGATATGTCCCTAAATAAAAATGAGTTTGACAACTCAAGAATCATGCTGAAGGACCTAGACATTCCTAGAGAGAATACCTCTTTTAGAATTTATAGGTACTCCAGTACAACTCTGTGATCAACTTCCAGCTGAGGATGACCATAGAGTCGTGTTGGAGGACTTAGAGATTTCTGGAGAAGTTTTCTCTCAAATAAAAAGGTAGCATTTTTTTTTACAGTTTTTCACTTTTGTGGTAGTGCTGTGACCCTAACTATATATTCCAGAGATAAAAAAAGAAACAGGAATTAATTGTAGCATTAGATTTAGACTGAAAAATAACCGTAAAAATTAATTATTAAAAAAGCAGTAAAATAAAAAGTTTCTGTATTTTGCTCTGGCCATGTCTCACACACACACACATACCTTTCCCTTTGGATATGTGGCTCTTGAAACTGAAAACAGTCCTCAAGCCCAAGGATATTGTCTACCACTGCCCTAAATAAGGATATTGGTTTGTGTACATGGACAAGTTTGCCCCACAGGAAAGGATAGGATTCCATAAGTATGCTTAGTGTGCCTAGCTATCTAGGTGTCATACATGTTGATATACTGTCTTCTTTAGCCGATATACTGTCTTCTTTACTACACAGTCTGGGTGTGGAATCATAGAGTTGGAAGAGACCTTGTGGGCCATCCAGTCCAACCCCCTGCCAAGAAGTAGGAAAATCGCATTCAAAGCACCCCCAACAAATGGCCATCCAGTCTCTGCTTAAAAGTTTCCAAAGAAGGAGCCTCCACCACACTCCAGGGCAGAGAGTTCCACTGCTAAACAGCTCTCACAGTCAGGAAGTTCTTCCTAGTGTTCAGATGGAATCTCCTTTCTTGTAGTTTGAAGCCGTTGTTCTGCGTCCTAGTCTCCAGGGCAGAAGAAAACAAGCTTGCTCCCTCCTCCCTATGACTTCCTCTTAGGATTCAGTAAAGGATTCGGTAATGGAAGTCTGAGAAAACCACTGCCTTAAGAAGATCCTTCCCTTTGGCACCTGTTACATGTTGTCTCAGTTTTTATTAGAATTTTCCTTTTGTTTTATCTTTCTATTTGTGTTTCTATGTATTTTATGTGTATGTTACATTGGTTTTTTTGCAAACTCAGTGCCAGTTCTCCTGGCACAAGTTCCAGACATCCATGAGTAATTCCTGTGGGTGGTGTTGGAAACATGTCATGACAAGTCAAGTGAAGTCAAGTGAATGACTTGTACATACATGTTCCTGTGTAACAATCCTCAAGCAGGGAAAACCCAGTTTAGTGGGGAGTAAATATAATGTACAATCCAGTGGCACAATATTGTTCATTCAGTGGTACCACCTGGTGGAAATTATGCCATTTGTGAAAATCTTTTTCTCATTGGAAAACACCTATGTGTGACTTTTCAAAAGTTCTGCATTTTCCCCTCAGTGTTGTCTAGTTTCCAATGCAAACAGTTGGCTTGTTCTCCCCAATTCTAAGCAAGCTCTTCGGTTCCTTATCTTGCTTTCTACATTACAGGTGAAGCAATCCAAATTAATGGATGACCTTCACTTGTAGGTCATGTGTTTTGTGTGCTTTGCACTTTATTTATGTATTGAATTCAAACCCCACCTTTCTCCTAGAATGGGATTCATGGCCCGATTCAAAGCCATAGACCACAGTGTGAGGTCTCCTATGCATACCTGATACTCCAAAAGCAAAGATGTAGAGATCATATCATGTTAATAAATTTTTTAATAATAATAATAAAACTTTATTTGTATTCCGCCCTATCTCCCCGAGGGGACTCAGGGCTGATGTTTTACTCAGTGATAATTTATAATCTTCCAGCAAGAAAACAGAAGTCTATAATAAGAAGGATAGGATTGCATTTACACTGTTGAATGATTGAAATTTGATACCACTTTAACTGCCATGATTCAATGCTTTGGAATCATGGGAGTTGTAGTTTTAAAGGCCTTTCACCTTCTCTGCCAAAGAGTGCAGGTGTCTCACCAAACTAAGGACCTTATCACATTGGCTATTGGATTCACCACACATTGTGGTGGATCTGTGGAGTCCTGAAGAGGTGTGTGGAGAACCTGTCATCCCATGCCCCACATCACCCGACTCACTGCTGACCCCATCCCACAGGGGGAAGTGTCCACCACCCAGCTTCCCCCATTGTTTCAAAGGCAACATGAGAAGCTTCCTGCTGTGGCATGTGCACTTCCTTGCCTTTTCGCCAGCTAGAAGTGGATGTGCATTGTGTAACTGGCTCCGTGGTGAAAGGGGAGAGCAAGTGGCGTACCACAGGCAAATTGCCTCCATCTGATGAGGTTGTAAAACTCTTAGGATTCCATAGTATTGAGGCATGGCTGTTAAAGTGGCATTAAACTGCATTTATTCTACAGTGTAAATACATACCAGGTAAACTAGGTGGATGCATTTTTGTAATTATATTACTTGTTATGTATAGGGTACAATGAAACCCCTCCTTTCTCTATACGCAAAAGTACATTAATTTCAAATGAAACTAAAGAACAAGCAAAGCCATCTTTATGATTATAGATTATTTTCATTATAATGACACAGGGACAATGTAATGTGTTAAAAGGGATAATATATTCTATATAATATACTGAATGTTATAAAGTGGGGTGTTTCCGTTAGCAAAAATAAACTGTATAGAGGCATTAATAAATTCAGTGGTCCTAAATACAATTGTTCCCTTATTGAACATTTTCAGTACATAGAGAAGATAGGATCTTAATTAGAAGAGACTCCAATCATTGCAGAAAGAAAGTATTGCTAAACATTTTACTTCATCTTGTGTAGACCTCTCCTGCAAAGGACGCTGCACGGCACACTTTGTAAGAGGGAAACCTTGTGACTGTGACCCTGACTGTAAGACATTTGGCAAATGCTGCTCAGACTTTGAAGAGGCCTGTCCAGTTGGTGAGTACTTCATTGTCTTTGTTTCTTTTCACATTATTAGCAGGTCACTTGAGTCAATCAGACGATTAGACCTTGGGGTTCATTGCTGAGATGCAGACCTGGTTTTCCTCTAGTGAGAAGCTGGCATGCCAGGGGGAAAGCTAGGCTAGAACTCTTTTTTTGACGTGCTAGTTTCCTATTGGACAATACTTTGTAGGAAGGCACATCTAGGTATTTAAGGTTCAGATGTAGTACAGCCAAAGCACGAGCCAGGAAAACTTGCAATACAAAAGTAGCTTTTCCAAGCTATTCCAGTACAAATTACATTTATATTCTCACTTGTATTAGAGCCAGTACCCGGTTTTGTCATGTTCTGGTAGTAATATGCTAAAATGTCAATCTTAGGGTCAAATACTTTTTAGAAAGGGGTTGCATTCTTGAGATAATAGGGAAGCTACCTGAATGGAAACCTCACTGAGCTGACAGCACTCCTTCTAAAGATAGAGAAAGGCTGCCCGTCATGCATACTGGCCAATACCTTACCAGTGCCATTCAATTGAAATAAGAAACTTCAGAATAGGGCTATGCACCTTAAGTGGGCTAACTGAATATCTTCTCAATAGCTCTGAAAAAAGGGGGACAAGGGGGATTTTATTTTGGATGATTCAACCCAGTCACTGGGGTTGACTGAACTAAAGCTTTGAAAAAAAATTCAAGCTTCATCTTCTAGAACAGGGGTCCACAAACTTTTTAAACAGAAGGCCAGGTCACAGTCCCTCAAACTGTTGGAGGGCCGGATTATAATTTGAAAAAACACGAATGAATCCCTATGCACAGTGCACATAGCTTATTTGTAGTGCAAAAAAACACTTTAAAAGAATACAATAATTGAAATGAAGAACAATTTTAACAAATATAAACTTACTAGTATTTCAATGGGAAGTTTAGGCCTGCTTTTGGCTGATGAGATAGGGTTGTTGTTGTTGTTGTTAGCTTTCAAGTCATTTCAGACATAGGTTGACTTGAGCGAGGGCCAGGTAAATGCCCTTGGAGGGCCGTATCCGTCCCCCGGGCCTTAGTTTGAGGACCCCTGCTCTAGAATTTTATAGTTAACATTATCTTGATTGAGTGATGTTCCCAAACAAATGTGACTGCTTTTTCCTCCCATTTGTGGAAGGTAATTACTTTGTGCTGAATCCACCCTGAATCGAGTGCAGTAAGATCTTTACTTTGCACACATGGTAGATATAAATTCAGATCTAGATCCACTTGAGTTTTAAAAGACCTCTTGTATTAGGTCCATTTCTATTTACGTGTTGTGTTTTGTTTTGCTGTACATCTGTCACATGCAGTAAAAGTTTTTTGTGTGTTTTACATTTCCAGCAGACAGTATCTCTATATATAGTTTAGTTGTATAAGATACATACTTTTGTATTTTTTTATTTAAGGTCCAAATATTTTCACATTTATGTGCTTTGAATGTGATTTTCCTGCTTCTTGGCAGGGAATTGGAATGGATGGACCACAAGGTCTCTTCCAACTCAATGATTATATGAACCTATGACTCTATGTAGATCTTGTTTTATTTCATTCCAATTCTTGTAGTTGTCTACAGATTTTTTATTGATTAGGGTTATACCGAAGTATATTAATTACTTAGTTGAAGGGTTAGAAGGCATGATCATCAAGTTTGCAGACGACACCAAATTGGGAGGGATAACCAATACTCCAGAAGACAGGAGCAGAATTCAAAACGATCTTCACAATTAGAGAGAAGATCCCTTTCTCAGAGAGACTCTGCTCCTGTGACTCAGGTCATGTAGAAACAATAGAACATGTGCTCCTTCAGTTCCCGTTCTACAGGGATATCGGTGCCAGGCTTATCTTCTGATATACAAGTACTCAGGCCATTCAGGACAATTTTATACCTCCCTGCTACTTGCAGATACTAATTTAGCTACGACCTACAATGTTGCAAAGTTCTGTGCAGTAGCATACAAAATCCGTCAGGGAATGATTATTCCCAAAAGTTAACTGTGTGTCCAGTAATCTTCTTCCTTGAATCTACAATTTGGTGATGGATCTGGGCATTGTGTGTTTTTACCCTGTTTCCCCTTCCGCTCCCTCACCCAAATTGTGCTTCAGTAGTTATATTTATATTTTTAATGTACCAAACATACCAAGTTTGTATGAAAATGTGACTCTATTTCCTGTGCTGGTCAATGACCGAAATAAATGATTTGATTTGATTTGATAGAGCGAAGGGCCAAAACTAACAAAATGAAGTTCAACAGGGACAAATGCAGATACTCCATTTAGGCAGAAAAAATGAAATGCAAAGATACAGAATGGGGGAACATATGGCTCGAGAGCAGTACATGTGAAAAAGATCTTGGAGTCCTTGTGGACAACAAGTTAGACATGAGCCAACAATGTGATGCAGCGGCAAAAAAAGCCAGTGGGATTTTGACTTGCACCAATAGGAGCATAGTGTCTAGATCCAGGGAAGTCATGCTGCCCCTCTATTCTGCCTTGGTCAGACCACATCTGGAATACTGTGTCCGATTCTGAGTACCACAATTGAAGGGAGATGTTGATAAGCTGGAATGTGTCCAGAGGAGGATGACTAAAATGATCAACGGTCTGGAGAACAAGCCCTATGAGGAGTGGCTTAAAGAGCTGGACATGTTTAGCCTGAAGAAGAGAAGGTTGAGAGGAGACATGATAGCCATGTGAGAGGAAGTAATATGGAGGAGGGAGCAAGCTTGTTTTCTGCTGTCCTGAAAACTAGGATGCGGAACAATGGCTTCAAACTACAAGAAAGGAGATTCCATCTGAACATTAGGAAGAACTTCCTGACTGTGAGAGCTGTTTAGCAGTGGAACTCTCTGCCGTGGAATGTGGTGGAGGCTCCTTCTTCGGAAGCTTTTAAGCAGAGACTGGATGGCCAACTGTCGGGGGTGCTTTGAATGCAATGTTCCTGCTTCTTGGCAGGGGGTTGGACTGGATGGCCCATGAGGTCTCTTCCAACTCTATGATTCTATGATTCTAAGTATTTCACTTTTTTTAAAAAAACTTTTATTTCTAATTTCTTCTCTACTTTTAATATTTTTTCATTTTAAAAATATTTTCATCTTCTTTTTATTAATTCTTAAACCTGTTACCTTTTCATATTCTTTCAGTACTTTTAAAAGAGATTTTATATGTTCTGTCTGGCCTTGTAGTACTATTATAACAACATGCACAAAAACTCTCACTTTTATTGAGTCATGTCTGATATTCACTAGTTCTTCATTTTCTACTATTTTGTTCAGTAGTACTTCCAGTGGAAAAATATCAAAGGAAAAGTGAGAGTGGACAACCAGACCAAGTCCTTTAGTTTTGTTATAGGTAAAGTAGTAGACTATACAGGGTCTTTGTGCGTAGATTACATAGTCTCAGTACCTCCAGGCATCTTTGAAACATGCAGTTTACACAACCCAGCAGAGAGCCTGAAATTTGTAGAGAATGCTTTGCTTGTTTTAATATTATTTTTCTCCATTATATATGCCGACTACACCTACATTTACTGCCTCCGATATAAGCATGCAGTTGAGTAGAGTCTGGATTTTCAGCAGACATAACTTAATTTGACTTTAGTGGAGTACTGCCAGGGTAGAATCTGGTTATAATAATAGGGGTAGTAGAGAGGCTATGGCAGAAAATTGTGGGAAAACTGCCTTGGGAGAGATAAATACGCTCTTTTTCCATTCAACAAAAAATCCCTGCAAAGTTTAAAATGAATGGCATACACCCTTGGTGGCAGATTGTATTTTGTGACCTTTAAACAAAAAAAAGAAACACTGCTAATACAAAGAAGATAGAAATTCCACAGGCAAAACTTTTCAACAAGCATAACCAGGCAATGCTTTCGAAGGAAAACAACCTCTGGCAAAACTGCTGATCTGCATTACCATTGGATACAGGGATCCATTTACAAATGGTTAAAATAACAAGAACAAGACTTACAACCTCATCATTCTATGTTTGTTTGAATCCACAGTGCTCTCTGGATGTAGGTGAACTACAACTTCAAAACTCAAGATCATTGCCCACCAAAACCCTTCCAGGGTTTTCTGTTGGTCATGGGAGTTCTGTGTGCCAAGTTTGGTTCAATTCCATCATTGGTGGAGTTCAGAATGTTCTTTGATTATAGGTTAACTATAAATCCTAGCAACTACAACTCCCAAATGACAAAATCAAACCCCCACCCCACCAGTATTCAAATTTGAGTGTATCAGGTATTTGTAGAAAATTTGGTCCAGTGGATGAAATACACCCCATATCAGATATTTACATTCCAATTCATAACAGTAACAAAATACATATATGAAGTAGCAACGAAAATAATTTCATGGTTGGGGGTCACCACAACTGAGGAACTGTATTAAGGGGTTATGGCATTAGAAGGGTTGAGAATCACTGCTTTAGCCCATGAAATAATCAATGTTTTTGTTCCATTATCTTCTTATGGAATATTTGTATAATCTGGAAATTAGTCCTTTATTCCCCTTCTCCAAAATGTTCCCCAATTCCCATTTTCTTTGGGGAAATCCTACCTAATTATCTTTCATAAATCTGTCATGTAGCTGGAAGTACAGTCGTTTACCCCTAACTCTTTTCTCCCATTGCCCTTTTTCTTTGCTTAGGTACTCCCTATAGTTTCTCCTTTCCTTATTAAATTCTGGATTTAGCACTGCTTCCAGGGGTCACAGCCATAGAGGTGTTTTTGCTCCATCCTCACCTTGTATCGCTTTCAAATTGTCAGAGGGTTGTACTCTTATAACGTGTCTATTCAAATCCTTATTGACTTTTTCTTTTTTGTACCGTAAGTATGCATGCCATCCAAATCTTTAGTTATATTAAGTAAAGCACAATTTTCTATTATGATCCGTTCCTTTATCCAGCTAAAGCTTGCTGTTTCATAGTAATACCTAAGATCTGGGAGTAATAAACCCCCTCTGTCTTTAGCATCTTTTACG